GTGATTCAATAAGCATTTTAAATAGCTTAAAAACCTTTTGAGTGGAAGATGACCAGCATAGGATTGGTGAGCCTGCGGTGGACGGTGAGAAGGTATTTTAGCTGATGTTGCATTTTTATTTTTAAAAGATACAGGCAATAGAAATATTGTTTGTGCTAAAGTTGGACTTTTGTCATTTGAGGGGTTAACGGGAGAAATATAACAGTGTGTGGCCAGAATCAGATGCCACTAATGCTATAGGATTGGCATGACAGCCAGGCACTTAGCATTTTTATTATGAGGCTAGAAATGAACGCCTCTGTTTGTTTTCCTCAAACCCCTGCACGTGGTTAGCTTTCCTGAACTGAGCCTCATAAATTGCATATAATGCAGTGACAGACAAATGCATTGTATATTACATTCTATATTACACTGGAGTTATTATTATTAAGAAAAAAATAACATTGAACTATTTCCTTTCTTTTCAATATTTGGCATTTACTATAAAAAAAACAAAATACTGAAATGCTCTGGAGCTAGTCTCCTGTGCAACTGAAATAGGAGTAACTCTGCTGTTGACGTCATCACTGCGAGACACTTGCTTCAAAAGCCCCTGAAACCGCTCTATAGTTTCAGTAATGCTGCGAAGTCGTCTTATTGGTGCCTGAACAACAAAACCGCCGTTTATGCATAATGTAGCTCATGAAAGTGTGTATATTTACTAACAAAATGGCATAAAGTATCCGAAAAGTTTATTTTTAGTCTCAAAACTGAAAACGAAAACATCGTTTCTGATCAGGCAGCTGGGGCAGCTATACTGGGGTCTTTTCATGCCGGCTGGTCCTTCACTTGTAAGATCACATGTGTTGTGTGAAGCCTGGTGTAAGTCGTATGACGTCATCTCCCTGGGTTTACTGTTGCAATGATGGCTGGCAAAGTTCGGTATTTATTATTTTTCCAGTATTATGGGACGAAATACAGGTATTTAACCTTTTCTGATTAACCGTTTGACCTCGGGCAACATGTTCTAAGGGTATATATGACAGTACTCTGTTAAAGTAGATCCTAATTGCATGTCATTTAATGTTCTACAGCATTCTGCATCCTAAACAGTTACCATTTTATTTTTTTAAAATCTTTTGCTGCTGCTGATCGCCTGGGATCTCTTTGCAGTCTACATGCATACAAGCGTTGGCTGCTAGTGATCAGCTGAATGTGCCTCATTTCGGTTCGCAAATCTAGCCAGAAATCAGCGTTTTGGGAACATCCACGCGAACCCTATCCAGGGCCCCCTTTATCCTAGCAACCAATGACCCTATGTGATTTGTGCAGCGTTATTGGTGGCTAGGACGATGGCGGCTAAGCTGCACAGTGTCATTGGTTGCTAGGATGCATACGGGAACACCATAACAACCAATGACACTACATGGCAGCTCGTGTCCTGTTGGAGATGCCCACATGTAACCTCCATGATTAAAAGAACTGAAGTCCAATGAATGAAAGGGGCTGGGGAGTCAAGTGCTAGATAATGATGGACTTCCTCCAGCCAGGAAATGATCCGGGCTCTATCTGACTTGCTGCGGGTTCTAATGCACATTGTGAGGAGCTCCCATTGTGCAGTGAAATCAGAGGAAGCAATTTCAGTTCAGGAGAGTGCCGGCCATCGGGCAGAGATGAGTGATGTGGGACCCGGGAGACTGTTGGAGAAGATGGTGGCATCAGTGGATGGAGCAGCGAGGGACCCCCCCCAATTCCCCCAAAGCTGGGTATGCATGGTTAGAATTTGTGCAAAAAAAAAAAAAATCTCCTCAGCACATTTGATAATGCCATCAGAAAGTTGATGAATTTCGTGCAAGATTTGTTTCCCGCACAAAAATCACATATAGGGCCCGTTCTTACCACAGCATTTGAATGATACCCCAGCACACTTCCTGGCTGCCGCAGGCTGCAAGACAGAACCTTGTGTTGCAGTCAAAAAAGTAGTGTGATGCAGCACACAGCAGTCAGGAGGGTTGTTGGGATGCCATTGAACTGAATGGCCATGGAACGCAGCTAGTGCATGGTAACGCAAACTAGGTTCACTGTGTGATAGCGTGCGTTTTACTCACACAGTATCGTACAATTAACTCAGCGCTATGGTGTGAATGGGTCCTTATTGTTAGAATTTCGTTTGAGGAAAGATTTTCCATCCTGCTCCTTCCATCTTTTTCATCACTACAGTCAAAAATGATAATTGTTTTGACTCCATTAACTACAGTAAACTCCCAGTTATCCGGCACCAACCTACCTCCGTGGGGGAGTTAGCAGTAACTCAAGCAACCCCCCCTCCCGTGATCCGCTCCTCTGCTCAGTGGGCGGGTGCAATAGCCAGCCTGCTATTGGCTATTGCAATTTGAGATAGCCAATAGCAGGCTGGCTATTGAATCCCTGCCCAGTGAGCAGAGGAGCAGACCTGAGAGAGAAAGTTCTCTCTCAGGTCCGTTCCTCTACTCAGTGGCTGGGTACAATAGCCGGACTGCTATTGGCTATTGCAATTTGAAATAGCAGGCTGCCTATTGCTCTCCATTGTTTACATCCTGCTTCCAACAGTGGAATCTAGCCACTGGCCGACAGCAAGATGTGAAAAAAGAATTTCCTTAGCAACTAAATAAATTTGGTTGCTAACACAATTTTTTAGTGTGCATCCGGCAAAAGGAAATATATATATATATATTCTCTATCTATCTATAGAGAGAGAGAGAGAGTATTTTTTTTTTTGCCGGTTGCTTGAGAGTTCTGGTTGTTTGAATGCTGGATAATGGGGAGTTTACTGTATTAGAAAATCGAACGAACATTCCGAAAACCACCGCTTTCAAACACATTTCTCATTGTGTATACCAAACTTAAAGGCTAGGTTTACCTGTCAGGCCATGTTACACCCATATTCAGGGTGTAGCAGGAAGGGCTGCAACAACTAATCGACATAATCGATTATAATCGATTATTGAAAAAGTTGTCAACTTTTTCAATAATCGATTAATCGGCTTCCGATCAGTTGGCCCTGTTCACGGCTCCACACACGCTCCACACACACTCCACACACACGCTGCGTGCCGCACCTCCTCCCCAAATCACGCTCATCGCTGCCAGACCCGCCCACCTGCATCCACGCTTTACACAACGCACCTCCTTCCCGCCTCACACTCACCGCCCGCCCACATCCACAGGGACGCGGGGAGATGTAGTAAGGAGGAGCAGGTGTGGGGGGATGACAGCCGTCGACAGACAGACCCGATCTCAGAAGCAAGTTGCTGGAAGACTGCTCAGGTAAGCCTGCACTTTCCCCCACATGGTGCTCTATAATGTATTGCTGGGATTTGTAGTCCTCTATAGCTGATGGTACATTGTGCTGTATATTATACATAGGAATACAAATCCCAGCAATACATTATACACTGTATGTATAATGTACTATTGCTGGGATTTGTTGTACTCCTCTATAGCTGGTGGTATTCTGCACTGCGCTGTATAGAGGACTACAAATCCCAGCAATAATACATTATACAGCACCATGCGGAATTCCACCAGCTATAGAGGAGCACTCCTCTATAGTTGGTTATATTCTGCATTGCGCTGTATAATGTACTATTGCTGGGATTTGTAGTCCTCTATAGCCGGTGCCATTTTGCATTCATTGCTGTATAATTTTACACTTTCCATTTCACTATATTGCACACCACACTATTTTTTTTCTTTTTTACTTCCACCGCTCCAAGCTTGCTCCTGTGATGGACTGCAATCTCAATACAAACTAGTAGTCCCATCACTGGAGCCATTTTTTTAAATGTATTTTATTGTTTATCCGATTAACCGATTAACCGAACTTAATAATCGGCTAACTAATCGATTTTGAAAATAATCGTTAGCTGCAGCTCTAGTAGCAGGAAACATTGTCACATTGACACCCTCTGCAGCTATCATTTTAGGAAGGGAGGGAGCACAGTTAAAAAAAAATAAATACAGTAAACTCTCCGTTATCCGGCATCCACGGGGGATTGGTAGATTGCAGATAAATGTAGTTTCTGGTTGCTTGAGAGTTATTATTAAAAATAGGTCTAACTAATGCCATACCCCATACTATACCATAACATAAACTCTACATTTCAATATATTAATATTGACATGCAGTAATCAAAAGCATAGAAAGACAAATAGACACATGATCATTTCCAGGATAATACAGGCCGCAGATCTGCAAAACAGTGAGTACACAGGATTGTTTTCTGGTTAGCTGAGAGCTCTACTGTATTAGATTGTTTACTGTATTAGATTGTTCTGTTCCTTTCTGCTTTATTGTACCACAGACAGTTATTATTGCAATAGCTTTAATAATTGAGGCTTATTGTGATTTCCCAAGGAAATCACGCATCATATGATATTCCACATACAAATGTTGACAATTAAAAATAAATTTCTCTTTTTTTACCCATGTTTAAAAAAAGAGGCCAATCTTGAGAAAAATATTGTGCCGCTATTTGCTATAATGAGGATAATTAACTTTCTTGGCCGCTGTTACATTTTATAAATCTGTTTTCAGCTTTGCACGAGCCGAGCTGGGTGAATCAGACTGAATCATTGTATGAAAGTGTCATGTGAGGGAGGATTGAGTCACGACTGTTTGGTTGCATTTGTTTCCATCTATTTTCGTGAATTGTGTACAAGGCAAGATTTTAAAGAGACCCTGTCACCAACTTGAGCTTCGCAAAAATTAAAAACGTACCCTTGTAGTGGGGCTACCCCTGCACTTTAAGGGTTAAGTGCTCATTTTGTATAGGGGGTCAATCAAAGCAAATGTACTCCCCTAATGCTCCGTCCTTCTGGGCTGCGAGACTGGTCCCTGCAGCCTCTTCTTCCCCAAGCTCTTGCAGCTGAATGACTGCTGACCTCATCACATCTAATGCAGGTCCATTGACCTGTATTGGACGGGATGATGCCGAAGGACATTCTGCAGCCGGAGCGGATAGAGGTGAGTGCTGACCGCCATGGGACTGAGGATCAGGTGAGTACACCTTCTTTATTTAAAACCCCTGCACAAAACAAGCACTTAACTCTTGCAGTGCGGGGTTAGCGTCACTGGAAGGATACCGTATTTGCCGGCGTATAAGATGACCCCCCTACTTTTTGTGTTAAAATATAGGTTTTGGGCTATACTCGTCGTATAAGACGAGTATAGCCCAAAATAATGTTTAAATGCACCCACTAACATCCATGGCGGTATTCCCGAGTGTGGCTCGGGGTTAATTTCCAGTACCATAAGCGGTAACCCCGAGCCACAATCGGGATTACAGTCTCTTACCTTGTCCACGATCCCCACTGTGTCCTCCGTCTTCCACTGAGTCAATCACGGCAGGCTTTGGATTAATGAATACAGGCTTTGTATTCATTAATACAAAACCTGCCGTGATTGGCTCAGCACGGTATACTGTATGTAGCCGAAGCTACATACAGTATACCATATCCTTCTGTATGTACCCGGCGTATAAGACGACCCCCGATTTCTGGGGGATGTTTTTTAAGGTTTCAAAACCCATCTTATACGCCGGCAAATACTGTAAATTTTTTTTAATTGCCTTTTTTCATAAGCAATTTTTATTACTTGCAAAGTGCCTCTGAACTTGTTAGAAAATGTGACTACTCTCCAGAAGGAGTCAATTCCCTAGCGCAGCCCCCTCCTTCCTTCCAGGTCATACATTACTCCCCTTCTGGGAGTGTTTAATATCGGCACTCCAGTTGTTGTGGTACTACAAATCCCATGAAGCATTGCAAGACTGACAGCCACAGTTATGACTCCCAGACGGGAAAGCATGATGGGCTTTGCAGTTTCACCACAGCTGGAGTGCTGAGGTTACCTACCCCTGCTACAGAGTCTCACTTAAGTGACAGCTCTGGGTGTACTGGGGCTGGTGACATCACATCCAAGATGGCGGCCCCCACCTGAAGTCTCAGAGCTCTTTTAGTGTGTACACAAGGGAGGCTTTTACAGGTAAATAACATGCATAAGATTCATTAAATGCACATATAACCTTATGTGACTATTCCTGTTATAATGAATAGTCTGGTGACAGGGTCTCTTTAAAGTCTTGTCTGATGGCCACTTATGGGATTAATTAAAGACATGAAACACATGATCAATGACAGTGCTAATGATAACAAATCAAAAATCTTCTTGGAGCAAAGTCATATATTTGGCATGCAGTATGCAACTGAGATCCACTCCTGGTAGTCAGTTCTTGTAGTATCTTCTCCTTGATATTCACCTGAGTATCCAAGTTGCAAAGCAGCCATACTGCGGCCATGCTGCTGCTTTAAAAAATCCAAGGACCAGAAACCCTTATGCTCATTTTCCAAACATTGCATACAAAAATCTACAAAGCATTTATAATACGATATGCATTCGAATAATTTAAAGTGATATTAAAGGCAAATGATTTCGAGGTGAAAAGATGCTGCTCTTTAATGTTTAAAAGTTTTGGCTTCCTGCAGAATGAGCTGAGCACTGGCCCTGATATCCTGTTTTAGGGTGGCTCCTTTGCCTTGCAGGGTCCTTGTTTTTACAATTCTTGGAGTTCCTTTTTAAGCTACTTCAAATGCTGATTAACCTGCTGACAGTGGATGCTGCTCCTTGATGTTTAAAAGTTTTAGCTTCCTGCAGAATCAGCTGGTCCCCTGAGCACTGGCCCTGGTATCCTGTTTTACGGTGGTTTCTTTCCCTATGAAGCCACCCTTGTGTGTGCTAGTAAGCTGTGGGTGTCTCCACAAACACACAGTCCCGGCAAGACAAGCCGCTCCCTGCTTCCCACTCCCCCCTTCACCAAGCTAGTGGAGACAGCTCTGTCCCTTTGGATCTTGTACTGTCCAGGAAGTTCAGGGAAGATGAGCCGAGAGAGTTGGAGCTGTTTGGAAACATGATGACTAAGTGGTTTGGCAAAAATATAAAGAAACACTTTGCTGGGCAATGTCTATTTGTTTGGTCTAGATTAATTATTGATTTTTTTTTTTTTTTTTAGAATTTAATACGACTTTAACTACTTCTTGTTATTTTTATTAAATGGAGGGCAAAATGTTCAATTGGAACTTGTTGTTAAAAATACTGTTGTCATGAATTGACTCCTATAGGGTTCCAAGGGATTCTATTCGCTGATAAAGAAAAAGATCCATTATGTGTTTGGCACATTCGCACACTATTTTGGGAACCTTGCTTAAGCATCCCATAGGTTACTCTGCTGGGTTCTCTTTTTTTTTTGTCACACGCCAAAATTGTGAATGGGTGATTGTATAACGATTCCAGCCCCCTAGATGTTTGTGTCCTTAGGTTATGTGTCAGCCATGCTTGCTGTACAATGTCCATAGTGTATCATATAGAACAGTGCTAGTGTAGATCAGATGTATACGTCTCCTCCGGGGTACTCGCTGTATCTGTTCTGTGGCCTTTTTGGAAATCTAATGACCTGTATTCCGTATCTCTGATTTTAGTGGGGTGATGAGGACGCCGACTCAGCAAGCAGTTCTTGGAGTACAAAACTATATGGAAGTAAGTCATGCCACCAATTCATGTAATATCACCCATTACAAGAGTTAAGATTGTAATTTACCTGGAGTTCTGCTTTAACAATAATGCTATGACTAATTTGCATAAAATAATATTCTGTGTACGTATTTTAACCACCTAAAGACCAGGAGTTTACACCCCCCTAAAATTATTGTTTGCGCTCTGACGTTCGTGATGTATGTTTGCTCGTGTATTTGTGGGGCTGGGGACTTTTTGTGTGTTGTTTCTTTGTTTTTTTTTTGCAACTTTACTTTTTTCCCCCACTTTATTATTATCACATAGGGGGCGCTAGAATCCCGCTATGTGGTAGCAAAGAGAATGTGACAGGTCCTCTTTATGGAGACATCAGGGGTCTTTAAGACCCCTAATGTGAGCTAGGGACCCCCAAGAAGCAGATGAAGCAGAGATATGGTTCATCAGCTTCTCCCCAGCTTCTGAAGCCGGAGAGTGACAACAGAATGCGGAAGTGATGTAATATACATCACTTCCTGCATTCTGACACCGGAGAGGAGTTCGGAATGAGATTGTGTGCTGATTGTGTGATCCCCCTGTCACAGAGCTGTCGTGCCGGTCCCGGGCCTGCACTAGGACCCACACTGCTAGGGACCCCCAAGAAGCAGATGAAGCAGAGATATGGTTCATCAGCTTCTCCCCAGCTTCTGAAGCCGGAGAGTGACAACAGAATGCGGAAGTGATGTAATATACATCACTTCCTGCATTCTGACACCGGAGAGGAGTTCGGAATGAGATTGTGTGCTGATTGTGTGATCCCCCTGTCACAGAGCTGTCGTGCCGGTCCCGGGCCTGCACTAGGACCCGCACTGCGGAAGGGGGGGGGGGCGCACCCACCGGCACCTCATACAAGTGAGCCGGCGGCTCTACAGCCGCTGGACCACTTGTATGTAAACAGACATCGTTGCGGCGCGCACGAGTGGGTGGGGCTAACGGGACGTCTTTAAACGCCCTGTTACATTCAAGTGGCTTCCGGGCAGCCGTTTAATTACAACGGCCGGCTGGGAAGTGGTTAAACTAACTCTTGCAGTGCTGGGGTAGCCCCAGTGCAATGGTTAAGATTTAATTCGCCCGGAGTTCTGCTTTAAGCTAACTAATACTTACTGACACTTCTAGACATCAGTGACCGAGTATTTTATTATTTTAAAGCAATACTGTGGTTTAGTTATTCAGGTTCAATTTAAAACCCGACCCTCTATCAGCACATACTCCCCTCACCTTCGCTCCCTTGCCAATTACTTTCAGCTATGGAGGAACAAAGTGACAGATTCTCTTTAATGCAAACACAAAGAAATCATCCTGGAGCCTTTTTACAGTTGTTAAGCAGGCAGAATTCTTCATAGTGTACACTGCATCCTCTGGAAACATGGGAACTTGGCAGAGAAGCTGGAATAAGGACTCTCTCATGTTGTAGATGCTCCAGAGCAGGGCTGCCCCATATTTCCTGGTTAGTTCTTTTCAGCAGAGCGAGAAACTGCTGTCAGATAACAGAATGTGTTACAGCGTTCGCCTTCTACAGATAAAACCTTGGAGGATGCTGAGTTAATGAGCGTTTAATTAAAGAATGAGGATGCAGTGCTGTGTCAGGCAGCTCGGTCCCATGTTCTCCCGCTTGGGCCCGCCGTTTGCATCACCTGCTAGTAATTAACAGGAACCCCTTCCAGACCCGTCCCTGCTGGAGAGCTCAGACACCAGCTGGAGGATCTAGTCAGGTAGGCTGAGCAGCTCCTGCCTGCTTTAAACGCCTCTTCCTATTGGACGCTTCATGGAGTTAAAGTTGAACGCCATCTTTACGTCTCAGAAAAAAAAGAATAATCTTCCCATGTGTGGGAACATAATATATCCATGTACACCTCAATTAACCATTGCTTCCAATTTCTACTATTCTATATAATACTGCAGTCTTCTCGCATCCAACACCATTCTTGTTTCAGACTACAACCGACCTTAAAGGGTATACCACCTAAATACTCCCAATACATGTATCCCATTCCTAATAACCATATTGATCTATTGATTATTGAAGATGCCCATAGGACTGGGGTGGGCAACTCCCGCCCTCCAGCTGTGCTTTAACTACAAATCCCAACATGTCTGTGGGAGTCATGCCTGCTGTAACTGTCAGTCTTGCAATGCCTCAAGGTTCCACCAACAGCTGGAGTTGCCCACCTCTGCCATAGTTGTACCTGCCTTCTGAACTACAACTCAACCTCTAAACACTGTATCATTGCTTGCTGGAAGCAATGCATGATGGGCTATGTAGTCGTGATGCAATCTCCATTTCTCAAATCAGGCATCAGGGAAAGAGACGTAAAGCACACTGGGAATCCAGGAAGTTGTTGGAAGTGATGGGCAGATGGAAGGTAGCACTCACTACATAAAGATTTGATTTAATTATCAAAAACGTCTCTAGTATGTATTCCTATTACAGTGTTGATGTTATAACAGGAGAGGATGTGCTGGGACTTTACAACTTGAATTCTGAGCTCCAGGCAAACATCTTATTACACAGATGAAATACATTTATGAGAGCTGTTTTACCTATCAAAGGATTTGTATTTGTGTGTATCCAGTCCTACGATTTACCCAGCTCTGCCACACAACAACCCTGTCTGTCAAGGTGGGGAACTTGATTTTTTATTTTTTGTAGTTACGTAACGCTTAAGTAACCCTGCACTCCTCAACAGCTACAAGTAGAGAATGAGCTACAAGCATACGGTCATTTCTTCATCAAAAACACCATGACACCTTATGAGCTACAGGTGATGTTAGTATCCAGCACTTCTGCGTGTGATGGAAAGTGTGTCCTCTTCCGGCCAATGTGGTTTCTCCCATTGACCGCTATGTCACTGCAGGACTCTGGAATTATTATAGGGGTCGGTGAAAGGAATCCCAGTGCCAAGTCGGGGGCAAGCTATACGACACACCTGGAAGTGGCGGTTGGCCGCGGCTTCCGGAGTTCTCTAGGAAAGCGAAGAGTTCCCTTTACGCCCGCTGGAAGGTGAGTATTAATGTTGCTCCTCTGCAGTCTACTTTTAGTTCTGCTTGGTAGAATAAAGTCCAGGGTCACTTTGAATTGAACAGGAAATCGTGCACAGGAAACACATTCATATATATATATATATATTAGTTGTTGACTACCCTTGTGGTTACATAACTGACCTCATTGGTCCATCACATAATGTAGTCGTAATGTAAACAGGAATAAGTTTCACAAAATGAGATAACTTTGCTGTTGTAACGAGCAGTATTGCCTTCTTGCGCCATAGATGAGTCTAGTGTTTGGATTAGGCAGAGGCTACGGCTGAGTCAGTTACGGAAGCCTCGTGAGGGTGGTGAAAGGATGTTGAGTCTATCTTCAGATCCTGTAAACTATCGAGTCATTTTTAATGTCTTTCTCTGTTACCACTATGAACGTTTTCTGAGCAGCATTGCAATCCCAGCAATGAAGCAATGGGGATTGTTAAATTTGACAGTGCCGGATAAACACTTCATTTTAAAGGGGCCGTCCAACCTGTATTGATATTTCAGGTGTGGGTTGATAGTTGGCAGTTGTATCTGTCGGTGATGTTGCTAAACGACAAGAACTAAATGCAGTTATTAAGTAATGCACAATCCTTCTAAAGTAAAAAAAAAAAAACTTTTACCTTCACTGACTAGGCCAGAGCCTCTTTTTTGTTTTTAATGTCTCGCAAGCTATCCCTTCCATGCACTGCAGCTCACAGTGTGAGGGTTTCAGCAGCAGAAGCAGTGCTGTGAATCCAGACAGCAGTGGTCAGGGCTGGGTGTGACTAGGTGCTGATTGAAGCAAGACCACACCCCTTGCAACATTTTTTATCCTACTGTAGTGCAAGTAGGTACAGCCCACATGAGAGTGACAACTCTGCTCAGAATTCAGGAGCAAAACAGCATTGTTGCCTCACCAGCGCAGGAAGCTGAATTAGCTGGACTTCACTGGAAGTGTCATCCGGTATTTGTGGAACTTTGAATGGGGACTAAGAGAAAATTTTAAAGGCAGCTGCAGCACATATTTTATTTATAATGGGAGGCCAGGGTTCTTCTAATGGTTACATAAATATGCACGCCAAGCACCCTCCTCTGCTTGTGAGATTATACTTGGTATGCTCCCCACCTTTGTGCACCTCCTGCTTTTACTTTGCACAGAAATTGCATAGGGAAATACATACAGTGGAAGGCACATGTTGTCCTGTTCACCTTCGGTGCTTAGGAACCCACCACAGGTTTGAGGTAGATGCATTGAGGGGATTATATCAAAATCTGGAGCAGCTGCCCATAGTAACCAATCGGCTTCTCTTTTTTATTTTCAAAGCTTAACTGAAGAGAGAAGCTGATTGGTTGCCATGCACATTTCTCCTATTTTGTCTGCTCCAGTTTTGATAAATTCCCCTAAGAATTTGTAATGATCCTCAGGCTGGGCATACGAAGAACATTAACTGGTAAATAAGTCCTATATTACCATGTTTTATGTCTCCATTTCTAATCAGGAATATTTCAAGTTTCATGTCACAGCCAGAATTCAGGAAATTCTTCAACCGATATTACATAAACCCTACCGACCGATTGGTGAATCTGTCGCAAGTTATGCCATTTGTTGCAGGGACTGGAGGCAGACTTATTATGAGTGTCTACGACACTTTTTATGAATTTCAGGGATTTTGTTAAGGAAGTCCATTCATTTTAAATAAAATCTTAACCCTTGCAGGTGGGCCACCACAGATATGCAGATATACCTGCAGGTGAATTTATTTGCTTTATTTTAACTCCCTAGACAAAACGAACACTTAAAACCTTGCAGTGCGAGGGAAGCCCCAATGCAAGGGTTAAGATTTAATTTGCCCGGAGTTCTGCTTTAGGGCTTGTCACACGAACTCCGGATTCTGTCCTGACCAGATCCGTGCGCTCCTGCACTAAAAATGCATCCCGATATATCCCTATGTGTTTTATGGGCTACAGTTCTCACGTGCGCAGTCCGTTCAGGTCACGACAGAAAAAATACTGCATGTCAAATTTTGTCCGGTCCGGAAACGCACGAACGCGTCAAAAACGCGACGGACACGCACCGAAAACGGGCCGCACTGCAGCTAAGCAAAAAAAAAGTATTCTTGCTACACTTTTCATGATGTCATCATCATCGTTGGACTTCCTGGTTGTGGTGGAACAGTAGAGGGAAAACCAGTAGGCATGAACAAAATGGTCCTGGACATAGAAAGATTTGTCGGATTGATGGAGCGTGCGCCAATGCTATATGACCTCCTCCGAGCTCATTCTCTGCAGATTTCTGTAGCCAGCACCAACACCATGCCTGCAAACATGTGATACATGTCTGATCATCAGCTTTACATACACAAAGGGAAGTTGTTGTTACGAGAGGGCGGAAGTGACCTCGGAGGAATTATCTGCATACTGACAGCCCCACAACTTAAAAAAAAAAAAGAACTGTCAGCGACCGGACCGCAGTAAAAACGCATAGAAAACGCACTGCATGCAGAGCACCGCTTCTGCAGATCTGGACCAGATCAAGCCTGGAAAATCATGTGAACAAGCCCTTAATGTTCTCCTTTAAAGGAGAACTATGAGATGAGTGATTTTCACTCACCTCATAGTTCTAGCCGACCTGTGACAATGAGACTGTCACAGGTCGGCTCAGTAGATTGGGAAGTGAGCGAACACATACCAGGTTCGCTCACCTCTCGATCCTGTCACGGCTCTCTGCCGTGACTGGGGAGGGGCTGGATTCCCCGCTTCGATCCGCCAGCGCTGACTGGCGGAACGGACGTGGGAGGGGGCGGGTACAGCTGGCTCTGCCTCTGCATAGCCATCTGTCAGTCACGCAGCTGGGTGTATCCCGGCACAATTGTCGGGATCCGCTTCAGCTGCGGCGTCTCAGTATACCGCGAGCTACAGCTCGTGGTATACTGAGCCTAGGGTGACGGGAGGACGCTAGTTTGTGTCCTCCCGTTACCCTAAGGAGAACTATGGGGAAAAGACTTAACCCCATAGTTCTCCTTTTAAATACACATTACATCTGGTAATGTGCTCAATTAGAAGTGTTCTCTTGGAATCATTTTGCTTTTTAAAGGTCTACGTTTTCAGCACAGCATGGTCACCTGAAGGTTTGTGAAACAAACTTGGTTGGCGACCAGCTATTTCATAGCATTGTTTTGAATCATCTATTTCTGGAATAAATCCATAAGGACCATACGTTAAAAAATAATAACCCCACAATAAAAGGCTTTTGTTCTATAAAATCTTTCTTAGCTTGCAAAATCCCATCTAAAAATAAAGTGAAAATGCTCACGCAGGCTTTGTCACTGGCATGAAACTCCAGCGTCAGAATCCAAATCTATGCGTTGTACTTTCATGCGTGTTTTGGGGCCCGGCCAAGAGCTGCTTAGTTGGTAGTTCTTATTAGAACCATGTGAGGACATCAATCCTTCTGGAACCTACAGAGTACATTCTATGTGACTTAGTCAGTTTGTACTTTCATCCTTGATCTACTGCATCCTCAACTTCCACTTTGTTGTAGGGTCACAGGAAGAGATGGTTTATGATGGGATTTTTATTATTCTTGGCTTAGGTTTGATTGAAGAATTTCTATATCTCAGATGTGGGACTTTTTTCTATCAGCTGTTTTTGTTTTATTTCTACAGAAATAAATATGAAAGATCTTCTTGTCTCGTCTAGTGAAATTATGAGGAAAGGTTACTGGATCTTTAGGTGTCTCTTTATCAGAATTGTATATATAGTTATAGGTAGAGCCTTGTGGGTTCTATGGTCAGTGATTCTAAAAGTATTGCGATCATAGACCGTTAGGAAAGTAGTATTTGCAGAGGAAGGTCAGCAATGGTAATCCTCATATTTCTTCATTCATATATCTTCATTTTCTTTCTGTACAGGTTTCCTTTAACTCCCTGCAAAAAGTTAACACGTAAAGCCCAGCTATATTCTCACATTTTTTTAATTTTATTTAATCCTGAGATTGACTTTTGCTAGGATATACTTCAAAATATCTCTCTTTCTCTCTGTAAAAATGCTTCTGCCTGTTCTCATACTGCAGGGCTCTTTGTTGGCATAGCTGAGTAATAGCCACGCTCCTCACATAGACTTGTATTGCACAGAAGGGGCGTGTTTTATCAGGTCTGTTACATTAGAAAGCAAAGCCTAGAGCCTATTGAACGGCACAGTTAAATTTAGACAGGGGGTCAGGTTAAAGTCAACTTGTACTTGAGGCCCCTTCCACTGTGCACAGATATCCTCCTGATTGGACTTTGTAAAAGAGGCCTTAGTCATTCTGGGCAAAGTGATTGGTTTGACGATAAGCAACATATACATAACATCCACTTACTCTCCCACCACTCCAAACCTCTGCCAACTTACACAAGGGCAGTTGGCCCTCACCCCTTCCTGTTGTGACAGTGCCCAGGCTGATTGGGCACTCAGACATGAAGCAATGCCCTGCAGGGGTTGTTATGTGCACCCCCATACAAGTGGGCAGTGGGTGAGGGAGTGGAATCTTATAGACTTTTGAGTAAATTGAACCTATTGCTTGCTGAGATTGGGTAAATGTGGAGGTTTACTTTTTATTGTAGGGGAGGGCTAGAGCCTTTGTTGAGTTTTTATTGTCACTCCTGTACCAGTTGTGGAGATTGTGTCTCCCTCTTGCTGTGCAGTGATAAAGTTAGGAAGTGGTCACTATCTCCCCCCCCTGTTTTAACGCTGTCTTTGTCCCCACTATGTTATTTACCCTATCTGTACTGGTGACTACTGTCACAGAGGCTGAAAATTATGGCAAATCCCCAATTTTCTTTTTTAAAGATGTCACCAGAATAAGATATGAGAGTAAATCTTTCAGTGGGGGGTGCCACTGAAGGACTACAATCTAATTACAAATGAGTGAACTAAAGGTGAGATTGTAGTCCCATCAGGACAATACACATGGACCATGGGGAACAAAAGTAGCCACCCTCTAGAAGGAAGGAC